GAGATGCATCCCTTAAACCCCAACCTAGAACCAAGAACAAGACGACGAAGAAACCAAGGACGAGAGCGAATTCGACTCTGATGAGGAATAAGACATAATGAAGAGGACGAAGAGCTTCAATCCGATGCAAAGAAGCCCAATTCGATCTCCACACCGGAGTCTCCCGCCCTCAAATCTGTGGATGTCGGTGAGAAGTCAAATAGAAAGCGCAACGCCAACGACAATTCCTTGTTCCTTATCTGGAGACTCGAGGACGAGATCGCGATCCTTGAGGCCATGATCGAGTTCGAGCCTAACACGGCCCCATCAAGCTCAACACCGCTGGGATTCGAGACTTTCACGACTTTGTGAAGGGTTTGTTGAGCCTCGAGGTCAACGGTTCTTAACTTCATAAAAAGATTCGGAGGATCAAGAAGAAGTACAAGTCTGTAGCTGCTCGTGTTAAGATAGGGAAAGTAGTCAAGTTTGGGGAACCTCTGGATGAGAAAGTGTACGAGCTCTCGAAGAAAGTTTGGGGAATGGAAAACAACAATGAGGCGAAGAATGAGGGGAAAGCTGTGAAATCTAAAAAGACGGTGAATGCGGTTAATGATAGTGGAGGAGGGAGTTCAAAGAGGGAGTATCCGTTCTTGAAGGATTGCTTGACGAAAATGAGGGGAGGCATCTCAGCGGAGCTCTTGGACGCGATTGACCTAGAAAATGCGAGGTCTTTGGAGAGCAAGTTTAAGAAGCAAAAGTGATGGAGATCCCAAACAAAATATGCGAGATAGACTTGATGAGGGAAGCCCTTGTGTGGTTAGTGGAGGAGATAGAGAGGATAGTGGATTGAGTTTGGGAAGTCCCATCGGTAAGTTCATGACCCTTTATGATATTTCGTTAGTTTCTAGTTTGCGCAAGAATTTCTTTTAGACTTCGGGTAATCGTAGGATTATCTTGGTATGCGTACTGAATTTGGCACGCAATATATTAGTTCGTGCAACTTCACATTTGGGTTTTGACGAGCATGTTTGCTCAAATGTTATTGATATATCAACTGCTTTGTCATGTTTAATTTTTGTAGTTTTCAATGATGATTTTGTACAAAACATAAATTAGTTATGATTGGACTTGTGAATCATAGTTTTGAATCATGGTGCAATTTTGTTGTTGGTTCAATAACATTGGGTGAGATGTTAGTGAAATTTTTACTCTGGCTTTGTCAAGGTTTTAAATGTCGGATATCGGGTTCATGTCGGATGGCTGAAATCCATGTCGGATAGTGGAAATCGGGGATATATCGGGGGACATTGACTAAATATCGGATTGTCATATCGGGTAGTGCGCATATGTATAATATCATGGCCTAAATGTAATCTAAGCATTCATAAATTCAATATAAACATACTTTATAAATTCTATAGACTAAACATATAAAAAAGTAAATAATATATGAATTTGGGTTCATAAATTCTTTCTATCGGGTTCATAAGAAACCCTTAAACATGAAAACGAGTCAAACGAGTTTGGGTATTTATCACTAAACCCAAACCCGATAACAAAAAACAGATTTAAAAAAAATTATCATATCAGCCGATTTTTTAAAGCTAAAAAATAGGCCGATATGCCCGATATGACCCTGATATTTCCGATTTGGCCCTGAAAACCGACATACGAGTTAAAAACGTCCATGTCGTGTCGGTCAAGCCCTCAAACCGATATGTCGGCCGACAAATCGGACATGTCGGCCGATATTTAAAACCTTGGGCTTTGTGGAAAGCACTTGTTTATCTTTTGTTAGCTTTGTAATGTGTCATTGCTGTTTATGAATGGGAAAATCACTGATGCACGTGCAAATTACATATACTGTACTAGATTTTAATATAGCATGCATGTTGATTAAATTCTTGTAACTAGAAGGACACCACAAGATTTGTTAAATCTCTGAGGTGGTTAAGTAGGCTAAAGGCTAGTCAATTTAGTCCTTACAGTTGGTTTTAAAATAGAACGATTTATGGTTTTAAACTTACCTTTGACTTAGGCTTGATGGGGGGATGCACTAAGTCATTCATGGAGGACCTATTATCAGTCACTATTTTTCTGGGGAGAAATGTATGAATTAAGTTGATGACTTTCACTTCAAATTGTTTCCACAATTTATGATGATAAACCGCATATGTATCAAGAGCTTTAAGGCTTAATCATTGTTGTTGTATTGCTACTTATTGTGTATACGCTTTCTCTTTGCATCATATTGCATATTATATCATTTCCCATGGGATACATTGACTGATTTGTAATTGTCAAGTAATTAAGCATCACCATCATGCATTACAAAAATATTATCAAAGTTAAAAGCATATAGTAGCGCACATAACCAAGGAGAATTGTTTAAAAGATAGCAAATTCAAAGTGAGACTGCAAGTATAGAAATGACTTCTAATAATAAGTCAAAGCCAAATGTGCTTTGGTGGAGTTTCTCAGGGGGATAGACAACTTTACTGCAACATTGCAAACTGTCTGTGGGGACTTCGCCATTTAAGTACTTGGGTCTTCCTTTGCC